GGTAGATTTTCACTACAGTCCCGTACCTTCTCCCTGTTGTTCCTCCTGGTGTATTGACTCTGTATTTATGTATAGGATGTGCACTGTGGTCTCTTCAGGTTGTCCCTGTTTCCTGGGACATTGCTTGCTGGCTGAACTGCTGTTGATCACTGTGTCATCTTTGTGACTTGTCTTTGCTGAATGGAGAATTAGACTTGCCTAACTCTGCCAGTCAGCTCTAATGGAATACCCACAATGAGAAATACCTTTGGTTAATGGACAAATTTGTGTTCTGTTTGCCTATTTTGTATCAGTGAATTGACAAAATCTTTACACTCAGGAAGTCTATAATTTTATGTGTTCAAGAGCTGTTCTCCTCTCAAGCCCTCCTCCCCTGTCTTCATATCCAAATCACCGTACTGTCCTACATCTTGAACTGGACAGTCATAGATGTAGGATGCCCCTAAATTCTCACAGTAACCCACTGAAGAGAAGGCACCATATCTCTTTCCCTGGATGGAATTAAGTGTAGCAGATTACCCTGAGCCGCTTTTCACAGCTCGTTAGCATCTGGGATGGTATTAAGCTGAGCAGCTGCAGTCTTTACCATGGCAAGGTCAGCCCAGAAGCGTTCATTGGAAGAGTGTGTCTAGCACAATGAACAGTTGCATGGGGGTGTAGTTATGGTGCTCAGACTGTGTGCTGAGAAATAGCTCTCTTGTGTAAGTGCATCCACCTGTCTATGTCTTAACTGAGGAGAAAAATTGTGTTATTGGTCTTCACCAAATCAAACAGAAGCAGTTGTGCTTCTTTTAGAAGACTACTTTAAACTCTCACACTCTCTGGTCTCAGTATCTTTCCTTATGCTCTAAGTGTATTATTTGTGTTTCTAGTTGGCATGGAACATGAATCATTTTCATTTTCTACATGTTAGTAATTCTTCCCATGTTGGCAGTATGAAATGGTTCACACAGGGGCCCATGGAATCCCCATGCAACTCACCCTTGCAATTTAAAGGAACAGCACACGATTTAACACAAGATTATATCTATTGCTCAGAGTGATAAATTGAAATGAAGAAAATAAGTATGACCTACTTCAGTGGAAGGATTAGGAATAAGATGTTTTCTCAATCTATATCTGTGATTTCTGGACTAGGGACACAAAGTTCTTCCTGTTTTTCATGTCACAGAACGACAAAAGAATAACCCCTGGGGAGGGAAATCATGGCTTTTAAAATCAGTTGTACCCTGAAAGATACTATTTTCAGTCAAATTATTTAATGTGGAAGGAATGTGGTTAAGGGCATGGTAGCATGCCACTTGCAATGCATAGTGTCCAAGGGCGCTTTTTTTTTTTTTTCTTAAGCATAGTATGGGAGAAAGATGGTAATTTTAGAAACTGGCCACATAGTGCCTGACCCTGTTCCAGATCTGGATTCCAGCACAACAGACAGAGAACTCCACTGACTCATGTTAAAAACAAAACAAACAAAACAGTTGTTACTCAGGATGCAAAGTAAATGCTGTTATCCACATGTGCACAATGGAAATCTCAGCTGGATGGTCTAGTGGGTGACTGGTGCGTTTTCTCTGCCATACTGGGCATATGTAGGTAAACCAGTCTTGTAGTCCTCTCTCCTTATTGCACCAATCAGTGGGTCTTACACACATGATGGTTTAGATGGCTGCAAGATGTGAACATTTAAATTAAGGTGAGTGAGGAAGTCTTGGAGATCAAGGCAGCGAAGTGGCCATTTCCACATCCTTGAGCCACTTGTGTGTTTGAAGCTTTTTGGAAACTAAAAACGAGAATGAATTTTCTTAGGACTTGTACATTGACCGGAATGGTTCCTAAGTTGTTAAATTGTTATCACTTTCACTGGATTCACGTTCACTAAAAGCTGGCTGATTTAGGGAGGTGTGCTAATGAATGCATGCTGAATTCTACTCCCCTGGGTGAGGTGGATGAATTTCCCAATCTGTGGAGTCCCAGTTGGAAAACCTGCAAAATCCACGTGTGATTTTTCTGTGGATTCCTCCCAGCCACTCTTATGTACATTCTCACCATCACTTAAGCAGGTGAAACCATGTCAGAATCTTCACTCTCTGTGCCATACTCTCAAGAACACAGTGGGGACCCAAAGCCAGACAACAGATATTAATAGTAAGGGATGTCTCCTGATCACTTTTAGAGTTGCACAAAGCAAGACTTTGTGTCTACTCTATACTTCTACACATCATAGCTGTTTCCTGAATTTAGTGTTTACTTTTAGCACATCCCCATACTGGCTTATTCTTTGACCTTCAAGAAGACTTATCCAGGGGTATGATTTTTGTCATTGAGATATTTATTTATTTATTTATTTATTTATTTATTATTTATTTATAGTTTGGGAAGAGATAGGGTCTCATGTAGCACAGAGCCAGTGTCAGGCTCACAATGTATATAATCAAAGCTGCCCTTGAACTTCCTATTCTCTTGTTTCTACTAAGTGCTATGCCATTGATATTTCTTATGAAGAACAGTCAGGGAGATCCAGGGAAAACTGTGTTCCCACAGCCTCACTGATATTCTTTAGATGCTGGTAGCATGTCTGCTCAGCCACTCTGTTCTTCTTCAACTACTGGCCCATGGGCCCCACACTCACTGCTAAAGACACACATGAAGAATAGGGTATTAGTATCTTTCTCTGTTGTTGTGATAAAATACCATGACAAAAGCAACGTAAAAGAGAGCTTATTTCTGACTTTCAGTTCTAGAGAGATACAATCCATCATGGCAGGGAGGATCTGATGGTAGAGAAGGCATCATGGTAGAGCAGGAAGCTGGCTGGTCACATTGTACCTGCACTTAGGAAGCAGGGAGTGAACAGGAACTTGGACAAGGTTATAAAGCCTCAAGTCCTACCCCCAGTGACCCAGTTCCTCCAGCTAGGCTCCACTTCCTAAAACCATCCCAGCTTTACCATATATTAACAATACAGATTTCTTAACATCTTGCATCTCTCTGTAAAAATGGGAAATATTAAGGCAAATGTTCTTAGCATCATTGTGGCTGTTGGATTGTTCCTAAGCAATGTAAAGTGTGGAGAGCACATTGACCAGGTCCGTTTGATACACTCCCTTCTCCTTAGCATGCCCACTGTTCATCTGAAATGTCTATGATTCCCCTCTCCATCCTGCTACCCAAGGGGGTTTTCCTTCTAGTATTTTGCCTTTTTTGCCTTTACTGGAGGCTTCCATTCCCCCCCCCCCCCGACCTCCGCCCTCTAGGAACAGGACACTTGGAATTGCTAGGGAGATATGCACTTCCCAGAGTCCAGGAGCAGAGTTTTAATGAGATCCTTCATTAGGAAAAGAGGAAAGAGCTGAGCTGTCCTGTGCCTCTAACCTGCAGTTTGGTGTTTCCAGGTCCAGTGTCTTAAAGTTAGTTGAATGTGGATGGATGCATGCAGATGAAATGACTGAATATTTCAATTCCAGCTGGGAAGAGAAGTATGGCTTAGATTATTAATGCTCTTGCCTCACTATGAGCTGACAGTCTATTTGTTTTCATTATGTAAACCAGCATGGTTTGGGATTATGTAGATTTCCTCCCTTTTTACTTAGAAGGCAAAGAATATTCATTAAGGATATCAATAAAGACCATGCCAGTGAGTGAGGCTTCAGTGCTGTGTCCCCTGCATGCTAAAAGACAGAAAAGGAAATTTAAGGGGTTGAGAGAATGAGAGATTGATCGGAAGGCAAATTATAAACCCATTTCAACTCTTGGCCTGCAGGCTGGGAAGTAACATTATTTGTTGTCAAGGATGGAAAACAACTCAGATTCAGGTCCAAGTGATTATTCCACGTTGACACTGCTGCCTTTCTGCCAACCGCAGCTCCATTTAGACATAGATTAATTAGCCTGGTAGAGGCGGATGTGGCCTGTGAGAGCAACGCCAAACAGGCAGCTCTGCAGTGGAGTCTCGGAGTTGGGGGTCTGGAGACTTGCGGCCCGGGCGCCTGACAATCTATTTTAATTATTGAGCCCACAGCAAACAGTAGTGAGAGAGCATGGATAGAAAACAGACCCTAAACTCCTGTAGTAACTGACACACTGTACATGGCTACTGACTTTGTTGATGTCATGGGGAGTCTGTCCCCATGGAAACGGGGCGGGGGGAGGGAACCCGCAAACAATCTGTAGACTTGAGTGAGTTCCTTATCAATCTTTTCTTTGGCCTTGCGTAAACCACGCTGGACTTTTTATTAGTCCTGCACATGAAATGGAAATGGTAGTGTATACATGTGCGGATATATTATGCCTATTTTGTGAATTATGGGAATAGATAAGATGAAAATCATGAAAATTGGGGAAGTGGGCTCTGAGTTCATTGAAAACAGCATTATTAACGCATTTAACATGAAGAACTTAGTCTCTTTCCAGAATATTTCTCACTGGCCTTCCCATCCAGTCTTTTCTGTGTACTTTTTTTTTTTTTTTTTTCTTCTTCTTCTTCTTCTTCTGTTCTGCTTAGATCTCGGCCGACACATCTATTTCCAGTGAAACTCCTCACAGGCTGGGACAGTGTGGGACCATCCGCGCTCACCCCACTGTACCTTAGGTGGGTGGGTGGGTGGGTAGGTGGGAGGTGAGCGAGGAGAGTGAGGGTGGGGCCGGGTTCTCGCCTTCTGGGAAACATGGTTCAAGTGACCATCAGCAGCACCCAGCCCACCCTCTCCCGGGTGCTCGGCTGGGTGGCAGGCGTCCCCCCACCAGCGCTGCACGTAGCAGCATCCCGGCTGGCTCAGCGCGCGGCTCCGGGCTAGGGCTGCGGGTGGCGCTGCGCAGCGCTGCGGCGATGAGCACGCGGCCTCCCGGGCAGCGCCCGACACTGGCAGCGCCTCCAGGGAACCCAAGCAAGGGTTCTCTCCTTCCCTCGAGGAAAACTCAGAGGAGGATTTGTTTCATTGTTAACACTTCATTGCATGGATTTTTGTTTTTTCCTGTGGCGGCGCTGAACGCGGTCCTCGCAGGAGGGGGAGGTACTTTCTCTCCGGACCCTGACTTGGAAGCAGAGAGGCACTCCAGCACCCTCGCAGCCCAGAAGCAGATGCGCAAGTGGGAGCAGCTGTGCGCGTTTCTTTCTGGCGAGGTTAGCTTGTTTTCGTTTTTTCTTTTCCACGTGGGAAGTGTGCGGTTTGCCTTCCTCAGTCCTGTACCGGGCTTTCGCGCTTTTAAACCTCGATGGTTTCGTTTTGAATAAATTATTTTGCATTTTACTTATTAAAAGGGAGAAAGGGGACTACTCTCCTGCTTTAGGGAGGTAATACTTCCAGATGAATTGTTATTCTATATTAAATCATGTTCATTTTACTACTTTTAAATCTCCCCTATATTTAAGGCATGGAAATTTACAGGGGTTACTTCCTATTTTTCTTTTCTTTTCTCCCCTTCATATTTTAGACTCTTTTTCCATTTCAAGGAGAGAAGCCAAGATCATTTTTACCCAGCGGAGGGATGATGTAGTACTTGTACTTACCGGTAAGTGAGTCTGTTTATCACAGGTGACTTACAAAGCCTGCTTCCTATGCTGAGTTCCCAGTGTGCTTAAAATGTGTTGAATTTCATTTTTGTTTCCATAGTTGCATTAGCAAAAAGTTAATTGAAGGTATCAATACTTTTTCCAAGTACTTTGCTTTGATTTTTTTTTTAAGTATTTCTATCTTCTCAGAGGCAATCAAGAGCAGCTAGAAAAGCTTTGCAATTCTTTTTAAAAACTGTCTGCTTAAACAGGACTAATTGATCTGTTTGGGACAATTGGGACAGAATATTAACCTCTCTGGAACAGTCATTCCAAAACATAATGGATACAGTGATTCTGATCTAGGTACGAAATAACATTCAAGTAAAATGGTTTAGGCAATTTAAGAATGAGCTTTGTTTCTAACTCATAAGATCCCATGGGTGGACTTCAGAACTGTTTGAGAATAGCTCCTTAATGGAATGTGTTGTTGGTTTAGGTTTTAGAATGAATGTAAAATCTCTGGTGGGTCGGTTCTGTTCTGTTCCTATATTCAATAATTTTGAGTTTCTTTTCTATGAGATGTTTAATTACAACTGACAAGAGTACCATTCAAACACTGTAATTCCATCACTTGAGAGGTAGAGGCAGGAGGATCATGAGTTCAGGGTCATCCTCAGCTACTTAGCATGTTAGAAGCCAGCTTGGCCTTTTGGAAACTCTGCCTTAGCACAAACAAACGAACAAACAAACAGGAACCTCTGAGATGCCATTAACAACGTTGCAATACAACAGCACAAACTGGAATTCAGGTGTGTGCTTTCTGTCTTCCGCAATGAAGCCCTTTTTCAGTTTTCTCTAGAAATACAAATGAAAAACAGACACAGAAATGAAAACAGGTAAGCTGTGCTTGGCACACACCTTTGTCTTTGAAACAGTTCTTCCTTTGTTTAAAAAATTTCTGGAGCAGTTTTGTTCATGATTCTGCTTTTTCTGTTGTTTCTGTTACTGTTGCCCTGATTGAGAGGAAAAAGTGGAAGTAAAGTACTTGCCAAGTAATACGCCAAGAGGTTATGAAGACAAAGTGACTTTGGGCAGACTTGAAGACATAGAGAATGGGTCTCTTCTTGAGTCTTACAATGTTTACTGTTTTCAAGAAAGACTTAGCTGGTATAAGAAAGAATGTCATTTAAATATCATGTGAACCATAATTGTTAAAACCTTGAGATGATATTGAAGTCAAACTTAGCAAAAGAGAGAAGCAACAAAAAGCTGATTAAAGTCTACTTGGGGAAATGCGAAGTTGGAGGATGTTTGTGTTCTAAGCTGTTAGAGCAGTAAGACTGCAGTGCCTGGGCAGTAGAGGACAAGGCCACACAGCAGACTGGATTTGAACGACAGTCATAATGCTGTTGAAGCCTAGAGCAGAAGCAGGAACTGTTGCCCAGGAGCCAAAAGGCCTGACCCAGGGAGCAGCAGCTTGAGAAAGTCATCTTTTGCCAGGTGCTGCTCCTCACTTTCACTGACTCCGGGTTTGAACCTCTGGCAGCAATGCCCTTTCTGCAGACCTGTAAGCAACAAGCTGTTGGTTGTCAATAGAGTGGATGACTGTATTCTCTCTGCGATGGGCAGCTGTGCCATACAGCACAGGCTTGGTAATCATGGAATCCCATGTGGGAGGCTTGGTTCAGATATTTACTAGCAGTAAGCCATGCAAGTTTTGCAATATGGACATCCTTGTGGCCTGTATTAATGACTTTTCTTGTTGCTGTGACAGAATACATGTCTGAACTTCTAAGAGAGGAAGGTTTTGTTCTGGCTCACAGTTCAGGACATCTAGCCCATCACAGTGGGGAAGGCATGATGGTGAGAGCGACTGTGACTGGAAGTAGGAGGTAGATGGTTACCTCACGTGGTTGGGCAATCAGGAAGCAGAGAACTGGGATAGGATCCTGGGCGAGATATAACCCATAAGCCCTAGGAGCCTAAGTCTTGGTTCCATACCCCAAATGATCTACACTTCCCCAAATAACACTACTAGCTGAGGACCAAATGTTCAAACACAGGAACCAAAGGGGCCATTTCACATTTAAACCATAGCAAGTCTTACAGGTGTGCTTCCTAGAGCCTGTTCCAGCAGAGTTCCTTCCCAAGGAATTGCCTCTTATGATACTTTTATCCTTACCTGTAACTTTTCATAGCTCACTGATGTATTTTCTTTTCTCTCCACTCTGCCATGCATCTGCATTCTCATGCCCATGATTCCTTTCTGCCTTTGGGTACTGGCTTCCTCGACCCCTATCTGCACCCTCTTGCTCTTGATCTCCCCTGCTCTTGCCTTCTCACCTGATCACCGTCTTCCCCAGTCCTCCCTTACTCACTGTGACTACTTGGCCCTCTGTTGGTCTCCACACTCTTCTTTCTAAATGCAGTATTTTCATCTTGTGACTCTTCTGGGAAACTCACCTTCACAGCAGTCCATGCACTGAGGTATTCCTGTTGACATTGCTTAGCCCTGAGAACTAGGGTCTAGCTCCTGTGAGGTACCAAGTGAAGGAGTGAGCCAGTGGACAAGTGAATGAAAGCATAACTCATCCCAGAACATGCCTGCTCTTATTATATTCCTTTGACCCCTTTTTGTATCCTTTCTGGGGGAACACATCATGAACAGACATCCATTCATTCCCAAACAGAACATCAACAACAGACCAAACATACAGTTCCACTCAAGTCTAGCTTGGTGAACCAATGAATTTATTGGGGGTTTTATAGAAGCATGGATGAGAGGTTACTTACAGGTACATGGGTGACTCAAAGATGGCAACTGCATCTCCAAAAAGCCCACCCCAGCATGGGCGATGACTCACTCAAGCTGTCTCCCTGGGTTCCCCACACAGCTTACAATCATCTCATGGAAGTCTCTTCTTCCCCAGAAATTGCTTACTGCTTGTATAACCTTAGGGCGGGGCCCTTGCGAATGTTATAACTTTATGCAATTCCTATGGCTGGTAAGTTTCCTTAGTTTTCTGAGTCTTGTGAGCCTCTCTCATTCTTCCAGGAGAGAATGTTCGGATCAGAGGAAATCCTGCACAGCACCCTTTTACATTCCTCTGCATCGTGTGTCATTCCACTGTCGTCACTGTTTGCCAGGTGATCTTCTGAGCTCCGCCCTTAGCAGAGTTGACCTGTCCTTCCTCACTTCTGTGATCCAGCAGCTCCAGTCATGTCTTGGGAACAGGGATTCTGTTTGTAGGCACATAACCGAATAAATCTTCTGCAGTTCTACAATTCACAAAACATGACTAGCAAATAACGTAAAATGATATCTGATACGAAACAGCCATGCACGTCATAAAGACATCCCCACTGACGACAAGGTGATTATTCACGTAGTATTATTTCTCCTGGGGGCTGGCGAGATGGCTCAATGGGTAATGTGTTTGCAATATGAATATGAAGTTCTGAGTTTGATCCCAGCACCCACGTAAAAGCCAGGCGTAGCAGTGAGTACCTGTAACCCCAGCACCGGGGAGCAGGCACAGAAGGCTCCTTAGTCTAGCCAACAGAGTGAGCTCTAGGTTCAGTGAGGTACTCTGTCTCCAAAAATAAGACAGAGGCTGGAGAGATCGCTCAGCAGTTAAAAGCACTGGCTGCTCTTGCAGAGGACCCCGGTTTGGTTCCCAGCACCCAGGCTAACAACTGCCCATAACTCTAGTTCCAGGGGATCTAACACCTTCTTCTGACCACCACTGGCATTGCACGACATGGGTACATTTATACACATGAAGGCAATACACTCATACACTAAAAATAATAAATAAAAAAATAAGAGGCGGAGTGATAGAAGAAGACATTCAAAGTCCACTTCTGTTCTTCACGCATGCATGCACAGGAGAGTGCACCATTACAGACATGTGTACACACATGCGTATACCCTCCATCAGATTGTATGGCTTAATGACATGATAGCCTTCTTAGTTTTCACAGCATTGAATTCCAAGGAAGCATCTCCCAGAATATATCATAGTCATTAAGTGATGTTTATCTACTTAATAACATCATCATTTATTAATTTGTCAAGTTGCTCACATTTGGAAAGCTAGAGAATTAAGTGGTACAGACTGTATTTTATGAAATGCCTTATTTTGGGTGTGTTTTTGACTTTTAAGTTTTTGTTTAATGGAGTAAGGCGTGACACACAGGCTGTGAGCTTCTAATGAGTGTTAACTTTGAGTCTCTTGATTCTAATTTATGCTTCTGAACGAAGGTTTGTTTTCTGGAATTGAGGTGACCTCAAGAGGTTTACACTCACACAGAGTGTACATGGTGATGATGTGTACCTTTTAGTAGGTTCTCATTTCTTCTGATTGACAGTCAATTGCATCTTGTTTCTTGAATTTCCTGTTCTGCTTCTTGAGAGTCCCTTTCCATCAAGTTAATGTCTTGCCTCCAGAGCTGTGCTCCAGCCTCTCACCTCCAGGGATGGTTCTGCTGTCTCTTGTCCATGGGTCTCCCCTCGGTCTTTATCCTTCTGACTTTCCATCCTTTCTTGGGATTCAACTGGTGCAAGAGTGGTGGGGGTTATGAGAGGAGCCTTTTCTGAGCCCATTCTGGGCTGGCCTGGGCCTTTGTGCCCTTTTATTTTCTCCATTGTTGAGAAAATATGATTGACCTGTTAGATCATCTTTGGCCATCCTTGTCCCAGAGGAGATATGGTCTTTGCATTTTGATACCTAGCAGATGTCTGTCCATATCCATCTCGGGATGAACTTCTGGTATCTGAAAACCCTCAGCAGAACCATCAGTGGCATTTTCATTTGTTTGAGCCCAGGCAATCCAACTTCAGCACTAGAGCTTGCTTAATTCAACACACTGTTTAAAGGGAAGTCAAAGAAGGCAGAAGTAAGCCCAGATCTATTTTCACATGAATAAAATATGGTCTGCCCATGTATGGGGATATTATTTAGCCTTAAATGAGATGGAAATTCTGACACATGCTAAAATTTGGATGAGTTGGGAA